AGTTGGCACAATCAATCTTAACCATCACAAGTGGTATCTCATTGTGGTTTTGACTTGTATTTTTCCAGTGGCTAATGATGTTGAGTATCTTTTTTCTGTGCTTCTTGTTCACTTGTATATCTTCTTTGGAGAAAAATCTATACAGATCCTTTGTCTATAGTTTAATTGCATTATTTATGTTTTTATTATTGAGTTTTAAGAGTTGTCTATATATCCTAGATTTGAGTACCTTTTAGTTACATCATTATCAATATTTTCTCCCAATCCAGGATTGTCTTTTCACTTTATTGATGGTGTCTTTGAAGCATAACAGTTTTTAATTTTGACGTTCAATTTATCTTTTTTTGTTGTTGCTCATATTTTTGGTGTTTTATATAAGAAGCCATTGCCTAACACAAGATCGTGAAGATTTACTCTTAAGTCTTCTTCTAAGAGTCTTATATTATGAGCTTTCTGATCTTCTTTGAGTTGATTTTTGTGTATGATTTGATGTAAGGATTCCATTTCATTCAATTTTATTTAATCGTTCTAGCACCATTGTTGAAAAGAGTATTCTTTTTCCCCATTGAATTATTTTGGAACTTTTGTTAAAAAGTCAGTTGACTATAAATGTTTGATTTTATCTTGAGGCTCCCAATTCTATTCCATCAATCTTTATGTCCATCCTTATACCAATACTGCACTGTCTTGATTTCTGTAGTGTCATCGTGAGTTTTGAAGTTGGAGTATTTCTGCTTTTATGTTCATCTTATAGCACACATAGCAAAGGCTTGGATGTTGCCTGACAGGAAGGGTCTGATTAGATGGATTGAGGACACATGAGGAAAGGAAGACTGAAGAGTAGCACAAGAGATTGAAAGTCAGGGAACCTTGTCTTTAACCCTTGCCCTACCACATCCATGTGTAACCTTATGTATATCACTTGATGTCTCTGGACCTCTGTTTCCCATTCTGTAGAGTGAAAGCTCTGAGCTGGTTGATTGTTGAAGAACTTTTCAATTCTACTATTCTGGAGGCATGAGAGATTCAGTTAATAGATCCACTCCACCACAGAACCCCATAATTTTATACCAAAACATTCATAGACACTCATTTGGAACTTAAGCATGGTATATGAGAAGTACAAGGGAAGTGCAAGACAATTCTGGATCATCTTGTCATGCCAGATAGCAATGAATGATGAAAGACTCCCAAGGCCATGTCTAAAGGACTTAGGTTCTCACTGTCAAAGTTGGGGGATATTGGATATTAATAAGAATAATAATATGATGAATTGAAATACCTCCAGTATATCTAAATTCATGAGTTCATAATGCTGCTTTAAAAACTCCATTTATTTGGATTTTGAGATCCCTGACAGAACCCTCAGGTTATCTCTCTTGCTTGGCTTAGTTTTCATGGCTGTACCTTTACCTGGATCCCTCTGTCTCTGAACTCTGTTCTGCTCTCTGCTGCCAAAGAGCCAGAAGTATGAACCATACCAGAAGTAGGAGCCAGAAGTATGAACAAAGAGCCAAAGTATGAACACTTCATACTTTCTTATTCTGCATCAGTCTGTTCAGAGAAGAAACGGAGGAGTTCTGGAGTTACTGGTATGGGTCCACCTACCCAGTGTCTCACCAAGCATTGCCTGCTGGGTAGATAATGCCTCCCTGTGATCAGCACCATGGTTTATACACTGTGAACACCACCCAAAATTTAGACAGAAAATAATTCTGTCAGCCTGAAACATTCCCTGTGCTCCGTTATAGTAATCCTCCCTCCCTCCACATTCACTGTGATATGCACCATCGCTTCCCTTTGTTTTAAGTAAGAGGCTCCTGCTAGATGAATAAAGAATTCATTCTCTGCAGCCTGCAGGTTTTGTATCACATACTTTCTCCAACAGGGGTGCATAGATGTCAGGTGCTTAGAAAGATGATGTTTTGCTGAAGAAATGTGGCCAGTGGGCCTAAGGGGCTGCATCGCAGCTAGGATCTGTACTCTAAGACTTAACCCTCCAGCCCCTCTCAGGTCTTCCCTGTCTGAGCCTCAGTTTCTTTCTGGATAAAAGGAAAATGTCGAAAAACCACTACCTACATACATGCTGTAATATGCCCTGATCTGAGCCAGAGAAGCCAAACTCAAAGGTCACCCACTATGCGATTCTCTTCATGTGGCTAAGAAAAGGAAAAACTAAAGGGTCAGAAAAAAGATCAATAGCTGCCAGGAATGGAGGGGTAAGGGAGGGATTAAGTGTAAAGGGAACATTTTGGGGTGATGGAATTATATTCTGGCATGATTTTTGGTGGTTATATCGTTGTATAAGTTTGTCAAAATTGATAACACTATAAATAAAAATGTGAATTTTACTGTATGTAAATTACAGCCAAATAAACAACCAAGTGCCCCCCCCCACACACATTCATAGAGTTGGATCAGATAATCTTTTTTTTTTTTGGTACCAGGGATAGAACTTGGGTCCTTGTGCTTGCGGGGCTGGCGGTGGAATGAACCAGGTAATCTTGAAGGTCCCTCTCAGTGCTGCTAGTCACTGATTCTCCCCTGATATGATCACGGGGGAGCCAGCAGGAAGAGATACCTTATTTTTTGGATTGTGCCTCCCTGATCCTCCTACCCTTCTCCAACTCCAAACAGTCCTGTGATGTAATGGGAGAAAGGAAAAACAGGCTTCATTTGCTTGGCTGACTGTTTCAGGATGAGGCTTCTCCTTCTGTGCAGGTCCACGAATGTCTGCAGGGATGCTGGACATTCTCAGGACAGGGCCCGGTCCAGCCCTTCAACCTGTTCCAAGGTCTGCATTCCAGGCTTGAAATGGAATAGTCCTGGACAAGAGCTCAGAATCCAGATCCCCATGAAACAACTAAGTACAAGGCCTGGGGGACAAATACGGGGAATGACGGGGAATGACGGGGAATGTAGGTCTCTAGGGTTTTCACTGCCACTGGAGCCTGAAGAAGGAACCCTGTCTCCCACTGTGCTACCAATGAAGCCTATTATTGGGCTACTGATTGAGGCCACTCAAGTGACATAGTGAGGGAACCAAGCCCTTGCCGGGAAAAAGGGGGCAAGGGGCTTGTCACAGGCAGGGAGAGGCTGCTGCCTGCACAGACCTTGGAAGTCCATCGATTCCTGAATTGGCTGAACTGGCTGAAGGCTGGCACTCGGGCCAGGCTATGGGGTGGGGGGTGCTGTCTGCCTGGTAGGGTTTTGCAGACCCAGTCTATGTTTATCACCTCCCAGTGCCTATCTCAGAAGTGGCACTAGCTCACACCAGCCACTGTTTCAGGAGCACTTACTAGGTGCCAGGCACAGGCTATCCCCTCTCTATTAATTCACAACCATCATAACATTTTGGAATTTTTGCTCCTGCTTTAGAAATAAACAAACAGACTGGGGGTGTATGGCTCAGTCTCTGCCATCACAGGCAATTTCTCTGTTTTGTTGGCCAGACCTGCCCAGGCAGCTCCAGGGCTCTGAGGAGGACAGAGCTAGAGTGTACCAGATGGAGCGCTCCACTCCAGATGGAGCTCATGCCTAGCTGTGGCTCCCACCACAGGCCCCTTTCACATAAACCAGATGCCACAGCCTCTCCTTGACCAGGGGGTCTGTGCCTTCAGGTGTGGAGTCTGAAACATTCTGCGACCCCTAGTGCCGGTACTGCAGGGAAATAATCGGAGGAGCACATGCAGGGAATCCTGCTGAGGGGAGCCAGGAGTTGCTGTGGGGGTTTCTGCTGAGAAAAGTGGGCTAAGGGAAGGCATGCTGGGCAGAGCTCTGTGGGCCCAGGAGGGGATGTGCTTGTATGGATGCTGCCTGGGTTTGGAGGCTGCCACACGCCAGGGTCAGGGACATCCATTAGAGGTCCTAGTAGTTCCTAGGAAGCTGAGACCAATAAATAATTGGAATCTGGCACCAGGGAAAGGACAGCCTCATGCCCATTAGGACAAAAGCCTCCAACAGGGTGTAGGGGGCAAGGAAGCAGTCAGGGTGGCTCCCACACATTCTTAGGTGGGCATAGCTCTTGGGTTGTTGCTGGTTGCCGCATACCTATCCATCCCTATCCTGGATCTAAAAGCAGATTTCTGTCCTTGGTAGTCTGTAGGATCATGTGCATGCACAGTGACAGCTTGGTAAACAAAGATTCTGGAAACAAGCCAGCTGGTCCAGCTGAATAAGAAGAGCTCCAGGTTCCCTGGAGGAAGTGGCGGTGGTCGAGAACAGGGAAGCATGATTCTTCTGTGGGTGGGCCACGAACTGACAGTGGGACACACTATGGACCAGGCTGGGGGCAGGCATAACCTGGATCTTGGCCTTGTAGATCAGAATATTCCACTTAAGGATCCAGCTCAGCGATGAGAGACAAGGTGGGTTCCATCCAGATGTGATTGAGGACCCATTCCCATGCTTCTGAAATCATTTCTACCTCTGCAAGCAAAATTTCTGTCACTGAAGTATGCTGTTAGATGCCAGCCTTATCATTATTAGGGGATCCTTTTTACTTTGTTCTCTCTCTCCTCTTGTCAACCTGACTCTCAGGCTCTTGGAGTCCTGCTGCTTTGGTGTTAGCAGCAAATGAGATTATCTGTAGCTCAGGAAACCAAGACTCCCCAGAAGGAGCACTGGCTTTATGCAGTGGACTTTGATCCTGGGGGTTTCTTCAGAAGAGTGTCAGAGCAGAGCGGCCACTGGGATTCTGCACATGAGCAGTGGCGCGTGGAGACCACCCAGCCAAGGAGACCCTGGCAGAGTCAAGGGCTTCAGCCTTTTGATGATATGGCTGTCCCAACCTACCAGCATGATCTGGCTTTTCTGAGCTGCTTAGCATCCTTGCAAATGAGAGGGAAACAGACTCGTGTGTGTGTGTGTGTGTGTGTGTGTGCGTGCGTGTGTGTGTGTGTGATAATGGGGCATGGTTGGAAGCAGGGAGGAGTGGTAGGCTTTATTTTCTAGAAGTAAATCCTGCGCAGTGAACCCCCAAACCAAGAAGTCACACAGAGTTAGCTGGACAGTAGTAGGTTCAAGTCGTTTATTTTTAGACTGTTACCAGCATGTTTGGTTCTGGGGTCCAATCCCCAAATTCCAGAAAAATAAACTAATGAGAACCACATGCACTATGAGGAGGCCATTCCGACGTGTCCATGATTATGTGGTAAATGGGCATAGAATATAGGACGGGAGCCCTCAGTGTGAGCAGGGCCTGTCCTCCTCAGACAGCTGACAGCAGCCAGCTCTGAGCCCTCAGTAGGGCTGAGGAGAGGGCTGAGTCCCAGTCATTTGGACCCTGCTCCTTTAGGGCCCTAGGGTCCTTATTGCTACATTTGCTACTTTGCTACTTTATGGCCCCTGGGTCTTTCTTGTCCAGGGGATGCCTTATCACTGGGTGGCACTAATGAGTAGGTTGCTGGCATCTGCTGTTGCCATGGTTACATGAGCACAGGTCTCTGTTCAGAGGGTCCCGTGGTGAATTATTAAGTGATTTATTTGGCCACTGTTTGACTAGTCCATGGTCCTTGCTACATATTCATCTTAGCCAGATCCTTTTAGAGGCTGGTGGCACATTATCTTCCTCCAGCCCAGGGCTTTCTATTTCCTGGAACTTGCTGGGACATCTCCCTCCATTACATTCCGAAGGGTCCAAAGACCAATAGCCCTCAATCCTTTGTACTTTCTGGGAAGGCTTCCTGGTGGTGGCTTTTGAAGCCCAGGCATTTGCAGTAGAATGGGAGGGATGCTTTTTAAGGAAAAACATCAACTTCCACAATCAGGGAGGGGGGCAGGCTCCTGGCTCAGTGTCCTGTTGGTGAGGTAGTTTGAACATACGAGGAATCCTGCAGGGAAGACACCTTGGAGCATGGCCCCATTAGCTCAGTCTGAGCAGCAACTCAGAATATCAAGAGGCCCTTCCAGGATGCTGGCCTAGTACCTGGCCACCAACAGTGGGGAGCTGGACACAGGCCCTGTCAATTGCCCTGGCTGCTGGGTCTCTCTTTGTTTCTAGGGTACAGGAATGGCTTCTCAAAAGAACAAAGGTGCTGCATTGCTATCTAAAAGGGAGGAGGCTTCTCCCCAGCCCAAAGAGTTCCAGTTGCATGGGTCAGGTTGTCGGGCTGCTGCTGAACATTTATACCTGTAACCTACCAGTTGTACCTTTCCTGTGCAGGGAAAGGTTATTTCAGTCACATGCTCCCTGCCTGGTGCCTTGTGTGTTGGAGCTGATGGGTTGGTGGTCACTTGCAGAGACTGCCCTGATGCTTTGGCTGTAGGGCTGCCAAAATGATATTTTCTCTTTGAACCCTTAGGGAGAAAAGTTTTAGACCCAGGGACCACGCCCAGCCAGGGGACCTCAGGTAGCTTCTAGAGGGCAGAACAGGGCAGGGAAATCTGTTTTGCTAAAGAACTGTCTTCAAACATCTAATCTAGCCTGGATTTTTGGCTGTCTAGATCAAGCTACTGGGAACTTGGCCAAGACTCAATTTTCTAAACGTTTCCATTATGAGGTCTGCATGGTAGCCTGATCTTGGTGTGGTCCACTTGGTTGGAGCAAGATTGTTTCATGTTCTTCTTCTTGCAGCCCTCGCTTGAGCTACTGAGGAGCATGTTGTGGTAGTCACAGGATCCAGCCTGCCTCTGTTGTGGGGTAGGGATGGAGGGTTATTGCTCTGGGTTTGAATCTCTCTGAAGTGTCCTTATCTCTACTGAGCCTGCTGTTCCTCCCCTACCCTCTGGTTGTCCCCAGAGGTGTTTGGAAGCCTTCCACCTGTTCTCAGTGCCACAGTCCACCTGGATCTGGTTGGGCCCTCTGGGAACTTCCAGAGTGAGGTCAGTTCTCAGGCCAGCATAGATCAGGAGCAGCAGCCAAGAATTTGGGGGAGAGGGGCACAGAAGTCATGGCCAGGAAGCCAATCCTTCCCTATCTACAGCCTGACTTAGAACGCCCCCTAAAGCCCATGGGAGGGGCAGGAGGCAGCCAGGTCCCTTGCCCTGAATAACTGAGGGCACAGAGCGTGGTTGTTCAAGAACGCCCTTGACCACTTGTGCCTCAGTGGTTGCACAACCAGGGACCCTGAGCAGGGAAAAGCTTCCCTTGGGTAAAGTTGGGTGCAGATGAACTTGGACTATGATTTAGTCTGAAACAGGAGGTTTATATGACAAGAAGGGAGTAAAAAGGTGGAATGAGCAGAAGAGCAATTGAAAGACTCCATAACTTGGGGTGGGGCTTCATTACATTCATTTACTCTTCAAGTGGTTATCAAGTATCTGCAAACTGCTAGTCTTTGTGCTGAGTGTATGGGAGTCCACCAAGGATCTGGCTCTAAATTGTCACCTTTGGAGATACTTGGAGAACCCAACATATCATCTCTGTGATTTCCACTTCATCTGAAAAAGAGAGGAACTACTGCCAGTGGGAGAAACTGAGGTGTAGTGGTCAAAATCCATAAGGATACAACCCTAAGGAGGACTCTTATTGCACAGGGTGGCTCCATTGTGAGGGACAGGAGGCTTGGGCCAGAGGACAGGGCTGTGTGGAAGCAGACACAGAAAGGACTCAGAGGTGGGAGGTGGAAAGATGGGTCACAGAGAAGCAAACAGGAGGCCAGGACTGTAGACAAGCTTTTGAGCTTTTTGGTCACCAGCTGGTGAATTTGCCTGCATGAGTAAAGAAACACCAGGGATCACTTGTTTCCTTCGATGTGTCTGTTTATACACTCCCAAGGGAGACTTTTTTCACCTGTGGCCAAAGATAGATCAAAGGAGGATCATCATAGCAGGTGTGTGTGGGTGAGTGTCTGAATTAAAAAACCAGTTACTTAATACAGCTCTGTCTGAGGGCTCACAGGTATCACAATAATAACAATAACAATCACAGTATGAGCTACCATTTGCTAAGCACTTACTACATGTCTGGCACCTGACTTGATGCTTTACATACATGACCTCACAGCTCAGTTGGCAAAGAGTCATTTTGACACACACGCAAAGGGAATACAGGGGGGTCTTTTGTAGTTTTTTGCAGGTTTTGCTTTCTCTTAGGCAATCAGCTTTGTTTAGTAGGATTCTTTGGTGGGGCCCTCAGATCAAGCCTGGGAAGGGAATGATGTGGGTCTGGCCTGGACCTGCCAAAGTGTGCTCTGTCCCAGCTTCAGGCAGAGCTGAGGTCTGACCCAGCAAGGGTCTGACTGTGCTTGGCAGGATGCCATCATGAGGGGGCGGTCAGCCCTGCAACCCAGGCCCCACCTGGGCTGGATGCTCTTCCAGCCTCCACCTGGAGCCAGGGAGGGGAGAATCCCAATAGCTCCCAAATTCATAGCCATGTTTATTCTGAGTAAAACCAAGAAGTAAGGGGGAAAACAGGATAAATGATGAAATAAGAAATTTTTCAAAGATAGTCATCAGAACCTCCATGGCTGTTAAACAACCCATTCTTTCATCTGAATCAGTGGTTCCACAAGGTGTTGGACCCTTGAGATATTTGAGAAGATTGAGGGCAGCCACCACACGCATGGAGACCTTTTCAAAAATTGTTCTCAAAGGGGGCGGAAAGAACTTGAGGTGAGGTTGCCTAAGTGCTCCGGACGAGATTGGGATAGTGTAGTGAGAGTGATGCCTGGTGCTAGCCCCTTACACCTGGGTGCCCACAGGGAGTGGGAGAGGCAGCCGATGGAGGGGACACGGTGGCCATAACTATGGTGCCCAAGTGGGTGCCCTAGAGACAGAGACAGAGAGAGAGAGAGAGAGAGAGAGAGAATGTGTAATACTGGGTGCTCCCAAGGCCACTGTCCTTTTAGAGTTTGCCACAAGGTGTGATGCCCCAGACAGTCGGAGGAGCAAGGATATTAAGGATATCATCTCAAGTGATGGTCTGCCAGGAATCCCATGAGACGTTCTCCCCTGACCTGGAGCTCTGGCATACGACTGTACAAGGAAGAGAGGTTGTAAACAGGGGCTTCTCCTGGCTGGCCCCAGGCTCTGTGGACGCTTTCCTTCTGGTCTTCCTGTTCACCCACTGAGTCTCCCCACCATTGCCCTCCACAGCCCTCACTCTTTCTCCTTCACAGTGACCAAATCTCCGTGCAAGGAAACTCTGTCCGCAGATGTGGAGCGCTGCCGCCTGCCGGGGTGCTCTGCAGGCCCAGGCCCCTGTCCGGCACTGGGAACCATCAGGAGGACTGCATCAGGCCGGTGAGGCGCTTCCCCGCCAGTGACTTTCCCTGCAGAGAGACAGCAGACAGAGAAGCATGCACAGGTGTGCACACATGCGGAAGAACAGAGACAGAGAGCCAGACAGGTGAATTAATTGTTGCATGAGCCACGGAGACCAAAGGACCAACCAACCTGACTGACCATCTTGGTATAGGGTCTCTAGGTTCAGGAGCCCTAACTGGGGACAGTGGGAAAAGCCAGGACTGCAGGGCAGGTTGGGGGAGAGAGCGGGTATTGCTGGTACTTTTGGGGGAGGGGGGGGGTCAGTAGTGGGAGTTTTTCTTGCCTAAAATCAGGCATTTAAACTCGCTCTTGAATTTGATTATATTCAAGTTGAGGAAGGAAGTGGTGGATTTGAGAGTATCAGGGTCGGGGAAGGTGGATTGATCCAAATAGTTCTTGGCTGTGAATTCTGATCAAAATACAGGATAGATACACAGACTTTGGAATCCCCTTGGTGGTGAGTTCTGGGACCATGAAAGTGACGAGAGTGTTTGCTGGGCCTCAGAGCCACTGGTGGTCCCAGAGCAGTGTGCTCCTCTTGCCTCCCATTCTTAACTCCCCGCCTGTGATACCCAAAGATTGATTTTGATGATTTCACAGCAGGAAGTCTACAAGCTCTTTACTTAAACTGTTGTGGCTATTCTCTAAAACTAAAATCATAAACTAGACCATGAGGTCCAGTGCACGAGGCATAGAAGTCCAGGGAGACTTTAGTTGTCAAAGACCCTGGAGAGGTACTTGGGGAGCTACAGACCAGGGAGGGATTCAGAACTGGGCACCAGGAGGAGGGATGAGGGGAAGAATGAGGCTCAGTTGCTCTGCTTATTTCCCTGACACAGTCTGTGTCCTTCCTTGGCTCACCCACTTTAGAAATCCATACTGTTGGACAGGAGTCCAGAGGAGTGCGTGGCTGGACTCAAGCAGACTGATCACTGTCTCTGGGAAAACACTCAAAACCCATCCTGTTATTGACAGCAGGTCAGTGACATCATCCCCATCTGCAAGGGTAGTGGATGATCCCCCTCAGCAAGGGTTTGGTGGGGAGACTGCAAGGGGCGGCAATTCCTCATGTTTGTTTCCAAGTGGGGTGTGGGGGCTCATCTTGTTTACTGGGCTCGACTAGGTATAAGCTGGATATAATTTTATAAAATTGACCAGGTTTGTGAAGCCTGGTAGAGTACTCAATAAACCTGCTGATTAATGAATTGATGGATAATGGGTATATCTGTAAAGGAATAACACAGGCTTGGAGTTAGCTGGATGCAGAACAATGTGTCATCTGGCTTAGATCTCCATGGAGGGATGTGGCCAGCCTGGCTGAGCATTCTGATGCCATGAATGGGGGCTTGTCCAGAAGCTGAATTGCTCTCAGGAGCTGTTAGAAATCTGCCTGTACCTCTCCTTTTTTCCTCATTTTCACTAGTGAGACAAAAACTTTTAATTTTTCTCCTATGTTAACAAACACACATACCACAGACATACATACAGCCCCCACAGACTCTCAGTCTCCTGACATCAACAGCCTTATCTGAATCTTCAAATACGCTAAACTGAACTTGCAGCAAGGTACAATTATACCAGCCAAAGGAGTTTTTAATCAGCTTTTTAAAAAAATCCTAGAGTGTTACTGTATCCGTCTTTGAGAATCATTGAAGAGGATAGCCATGTCTTTCTCTAGAGCAGGGCAGGTGCCCCAGTAGCTCTTAGAAGGCGGAGGCTGGCCTTCACTGCCTGACTTGCAGCCCCAGATTCTATGGCACACAGATAGCTGTCAGTGTCCCCAAGTCCCCTTTCTTACAGTGGAGCCAGCAGTATTGGTCACCCACTTGATTCACCTGGGAATGTGATTCCTCACCACAGGCCTGAAGGCAGGCGGTATGGCAGTATGGGTCCTTTCGGGGAAAATGTGGGTCTAGGGACTTCCTGGTATGAGCCTCCCCCCATCTCCCCTGCTTCTGTGAAAGGCACTAAAGAATTTTGCTTTCTTCTTGGGAGCTGCTTATTGCCTCAGTAGCTACACACCAAATGTACTGGGTCCTCCTCCTCCTCCTCCAACCCTCCTGCACCAGGGCCACAATTACACATCATGAACCCAAATATATGCATTCTGAGTTGCTATATGCGGTATTTGGGGCTCTGATTTAGCTGACAGATATGAAAAAAACAATCACTAAATCCTCCGAATAAGAGTCTGTTGGCAATGTGTATGTTAAAAGCGCAGAGACAAAGAAGGGAAGGTTTACCCCAAGCCCTCATTACAGCTGCATTCTCATTAGTGAGGTCATTTTAGCTGGAGAGGGGCCCGAGGATTGAGGAAGGACTGTGTGTCTATTTGTTCTAGGTGAATTTGGCCCTGAAGCACCACCACCCTTAACCTCTCCTAGCTTTACAGAAAGGGCCTGGCTGGGCTTGGAGGAGCTAATTAATCTCTTCCTGCTGGAGTCCTGGAGCTCAGCCTCACAGCTCTGACTCCAAGGACCTGTGGCCAGCCTGTGATTGCCTGCCCCCCCCGCCCCCGCCCAGCTTCCATTTGCTAGGAATTTGGGGGATGGTGATGCAGCTGACCACCTAGGGGCCGCTCCTGAGATTGTCCCTAATCTCTCAGCAATCTGGGTGGTGTTGTCTGGCAGTTTTGTCTACCTTTCTCCACTGCTGCGCACCCATATTTACCAAATGCCATTTCAGCTGCTGAAGATGGAGGTCACGAGGGTTGGGGATAGCTTGGGAAGCAGCTCAGCCCACTGCAATCTACCCGCCACTCTGTGACCTCCTGGGTGAGTGAGTGAGCTCGGGCTGGAAGGCGGTTAATCATGCGGGATGTAGGCACAGCTAGATGCCTAGCCCAGGGCTTTGTGGGAAGAGATCCTGCAGTCCTACTTGCTCAGCAGTGGCCTCCCTTCTGAAAAGCTGAGGCTCCCATAGTATTCAGGCATCAAAGGGAAATCTGAGAACAGAGGATACCTGTGTTCATAGAGGAGCTGCCCAGAAGGATATGCCCCCGTGGGCCTGCAAGCAGCTCCTAAGGCACCTGCTCTGCCCAGAGACAGGGATTTTCTGCCCACTGACTCTAGGGCTCTTATCCTCCTCCTTTTCCTCCCATCCCTGCCTCCAGTTCCCATGATTCTGCAGGAAGTGCTTAGGCAGGAAAGTGGTAATTTTGTGTCTGTGCCTGGCCCTTGCATGGTTACAGATACAGTGGTTTTTTCAGGTCATAAATGTGTGATGTTTCCCAGTGCTGGTCAGCTGGGAATGGATCATGGTGCCAGGAAACTGCAGCCAGCTCAGCCCGAGGCCTGGGCGGAGCTGAGTGAAGCAGCTGAGGGTAGTTGAAAATGGTATCAGCAGGTACTCTTTGTCCAAGTGAAAAAATATACAGCGATTAAGAACTGAGCTGCAGAAGGTACATTCCAGAGACACCAAAGCTTTGCATGTCGACAAAATGCTTTTCCCCTGCGAGACATTTGGCAACATGTAATCCAATAGCACTTGGGATCCTTCAATTTCATGGACCACAGGGCTCAGTGTTGGGTTCACGAACACCCACACACTCAATTCCCACCCTCCACTCAGACTAATCATTTCAGCTCTGTGGTCATCTTGGTGGCTACAAGCCTGGAAGAAGGTGGTCACGGAATCCTTTGTTTCTGAAAGGAAATGCACAAAAGGGCTACCTCCCATTTGTGCAGTGCTTTAAGAAAAATCAACATGCTGCTTGTCATGCTGCTCTGTGCATTGCACTTTCAGATACTAATCAACAAAGCATGCACAACCCCATCCGGGTTACCCAGCCCTTCTGCCACTTACTTACCTGGGAGACTGATGCTAAACTCTGGCCAGGAAGAGGGCTGTGGCTCGGGGAGTAAGTAGCCCTGGGGGTCAAGTGGCTTATGGGGGCAGCACAGTTAAGAACTAGGGGCTCAGGGGACCCTTTTCAACACTAAGGGAATAGACATGTGAACTGCTGATGAGATTTTCCTGCTGATTTGCCCAGGTGACCTAAGACCACAGTTTCAGGTCTCCGGAGAATCAAATCAAAATCCAGGCTACTGGGAGGATAGAAACCAAGTGTGGCTGCTCCTGGAGAAGAGGGCAGAATTGACTGGGAAGCAGTGTGAGGAAACTTTCTAGGGTGATGGGGTACAAGTTACACAAGCATATATATTTGTCAAATTCATTGAACCGTGCATTTCAGATCTATGTATATTTTAGACCATATATATTTTATCCCTCAAAAGGGAAAAAAAGGTTAGGAAAAAAATCCCTGCCATCATCTCTGCCTGAGAATTCGCCACTCCTCACTCTTTTTAAGTTTCTGGGCCCAACTGTGCCTTTGGAGAAATTCAGTGCTTCCTCCTCTGGTATGGGAGAAACTCAGATTCCTCTGCTAGGGGCACTGGAACTTGCAGCAGTACTAATTTGGACTATTTCTAGTTTCCATTGATCCAAACTAATCCCCCTGGTGTGACACATAGGCATTTTTCATCCTTGCTCATGAAAAATGGTGTTTTGCTGACTAGGGCTCACCAAGTGACTCTATCAGGCAAGAAGTAGGAGGTCCCAGGGATGGGTTGTCCTAGTAAGGAGTTTGAAGGTCACCTTGACTGGCTGATGCTCAAACTCCTAAAAGGTGTACATGTGTGCAAGCATAGGCCTGAGGGGACTTGCTGAGGACAGCATTCAGGAACCTGAGAGCTGGGTGGGGAAGTTAGGGGTTCTGTTGCCTAGGGAGAAGCCAAGGCACTGCCTGACTTCATCAGGTGACTCCCTGGGGGTTGGTGGTCCTAGTGGTCCCTCTTCACTCAGCAAGGTAAAAGAAATAATTTTAATAGTGAGCTCAAGCAATTCTATGGCATCTCCTTTTCTCAATGATGAAGAGTCGGAGAGAGAGAGAGTGGCATCTGCTTGGGATGGCTCAGGGTCTGAGAAACTGTGGCAGAGGATGATAGGAAGATCCATGCTTTATATAGATTTATGTCAAAACACTTCCAGCTCTCCATCTCTCATCTCCTTCTATTCAACCCTGTGAAGCAAGGTGGGGCAGATAGAAATGGACAAACCAGGTAATGAGATGAGGCAAAGGGCTACCTCTAGCTAATGCACACCAGAGCTAGGTCAGAGCCGCTCGAGAAGGGAGGATATTTCTGGCTGTCTCAGCCTTCTGTAAGGAGTCAGGGAAGGAGCCCTGTGGCAAGATTCTTTCCTGGGATCTGTATTACTCTTGGGTCCTCACCAAGCTTTCTGATCTCTCTCAGGGGCTGAAGGGCATTTTATTTGATTTTTAAATATTCTCTTTATTTGAGATTTTATACAAAGATGTATCACACACATAAAGCAACATCCATTTAAAACATACATGGGATAGGTGAGAATTGAATTAATAGCAAAACTTCACTGGCAGAAAAATTAATTATGTGCTCATATATACTTAAATGCAAATCTTTAAAGAAATAAAAGAGATGATCAAAGTAAAAATCATAAATTTTTTTGAAATGGTAGGTACATCATCGTATGTGCAATGGTATAAACAACCAGGTTTTGCCATATAAATGGTAGGACTGTGGAATCTACCTGTGACTTCTACTTCTGACTGTGGAAGTCACATCATCTGAAAGCAATTCTCACAAAATTTCACCGGGACACTTAGGTTCAGATACCTCATTCCAACACCTACCAGCCTTTCTTTCTTTCTTTCTTTCTTTCTTTCTTTCTTTCTTTCTTTCTTTCTTTCTTTCTTTCTTTCTTTCCCTTCCTTCCTTCCTTCCTTCCTTCCTTCCTTCCTTCCTTCCTTCCTTCCTATCTCTACCCATCTGTCTAATTTCAAACAGAAAAAAACGAGTTCTTGTAAGCCCTCCTATCTGGATTAATGTAAAAGGACTCATCTACCTCCTGACTTCTTAAGGCCTTTCTCATTAATTTTCTTATTCTTCCCCATCTGAGTGGCATCAATTTCTCATGTACCTCCTTTCATAAGTGTTCTCCTCTTTAAATTGCCCAGGACTTGATGTGGCAGGGTTGGGATGTCCCACCATCAGGGATACAGTCGCTAACAGCTGCCTATTGAATGCTCACTGAGGGCCAGCTGACTGGTCATCTGACAGACACTCACACTAATGTCCACAGTGTCCTCGCTAGGTAGACATTCCTGTAACCCCACTAAATAGATGAGGAAACAGACTCAGGCCTTGAGTAACTTGCCTGAGAGCAGACAGCTAACCAGTGTGTGCACAAAGCCAAGGTGGTCGTCCTTCATGAGGTATGCAGCTGCTCTGCAAGCGGCCCTGACTCCCCAGGAAGGAAGCAAATGGAAATGCCCAGGGACCATGGACTCTTCCGTGCCCACCTATACTGCACCAGCTCTCTGAGTGGTACAGGGTGATTTTCTTAACCTCCTGAGCGAGAGCCTTCAGCTCTTGGGCTCTGCTTGCGGCTCTCCCAGGCAGTAGCTGCTCTGGTCAAGAGCTTCCCCCCATCACATTTGGGATGTGACCTGAGAGGAGCTCTCTTCTGCCAGACAGGATTGGCGAAAGGAGCTTTAGGCTACTGTACCAAGCTTGGATGCAGGTCACTATTGCCTGGTGCATACAGATTTACAGCAAGTAAAGCCACCATTCTGTTTATGGTGCTGTGTTACCAGTGCTGACTTCTCTGGACTCTTCCCAAATGACTATCCCAGAAACAGCTGTTTACCTTTCTAAGGTGGGCCAGGCAAAGTGAACTACTTCAATTGAAACCAACCCAATTTCAAATCATTCTAGGTCAAGTGCCTAATTTGGGAAGCCTTCCTTGGGTGGTAGTTCCTGGCCTCTGGCTCCTGGCCCTCATTAAGGTTGTCATTTACAAGGCCAACTTCTGCCTGTTGGTCTAGGTGAGTGATGGGAGACTTTCCTTCATAGTCGCTCCAGCTGTGCAGGGACAAATCTGGAACCAGGCAGGAATGCTGGGAGTGACAAGAGCTCAGCAGCTGAGCCCTACATTGGTGGCAGAATGCCCAGGCACAAGCTCCCTGGCCTCCTTTCCAAGCTGTGCATTTCCATTTTCCCTGCTCTCTGCCTCCCCTGCAGTGGAAATCTCCCTCTCTTTTTACTTGCTCTTTCTTCTGTCCTTCCTCTCTACTGACCAAACAATCCTGTTGCCCTTTCTACATTCAACTTTCAGGAAATCCTTGTAGCCTCAGGAGTGGTGTGGAGGGGGCATTTTGCTCGTAAAGCCCTTCAGTAGCATGCTTGCCTGCGGTCCACACAATGCCTGCTTCTTCCTCTCTCTTCTTCCTCCTCAAAAGTACTTTGACATCTAAGCTCTATCTGGTTCATTCCAAATTAGGCAAAGGTCAAAAGACTAAAGGAAACAGGGACATGACTATGTTGCTATTGGCAACAACTTGATGCTACTTTTTTCTAACTAGGAAGTTCAAGTAACCTTGACTATGACTCTAGGGGAGTATGCAGCTAAAATTTAGTAATTTGGTATTGTGGATAAGGTAGCCAAAGGAAGTCACTAGCTTGGCAATTTTCCTTGGAACTCTGCGGACTTTAACTCCATCCTCTGAAGGATACTTACTAGCTCCTGCAAACAAGTACTTGTTTAAGATACCTGCTAAGATTGAGCCTAGAAAACACAGGCAGTCAACTTGCTGACCCCTTCCCACCAAAGGCATAAACTTCAGTGAATATCCATGTCCATTTGGATGCTTATGCAAAGCAGTACAGCTCATTTCCCTTTCCTCCCTACCACCACAAATGGTGTCAGCAGGCATTTATCAGATGTGTATTCCTAATCTGAGAAAAATACAGCCAGAAATAGCTTAAGCAGCATTTTCAAGAGGCTCTGGAAAAAGACAGGTTGTTGGAATTCCTAGTCATGGAGAACCTTCTTACTTCCCTATTCCCTACAGACCCTTTTCACATGTTGCTGATATGTTTTTGGTTTCTTTAGGACAGTAGGTGGGTTGTTTCCTAGCTTCCTTCTCTCTTGGTGGTCTCGTATGTAGAAATGTGAGACTTCTACATTTCCTGCAGGACTTGGCTCTGGGCCCACATAGTCAGGGTTATGGAAGCCTTAGCTGGGAGATGAAGCCCACTTCTACTATTGGCTTTAAAATATCTCCACAGGAAGTGGGCATTTCTGTCTTCTGCTAGGGCATGAGCACTTGGAGAAGTGAGCTACAAGATCAATATTCAAGAATGCTGTCTGTGCACTGCCTCTAGGAGGACACGGGGCTCATCTCAGCATCGTTTCTGGGTCCCTGGGCTCTTTGTTTCTTAGGAAGGTAAAATTGAGTTCAAAAAATGGGCAGAAAAAATGGGAACATTGATAAATGGTTGTCCCTGACTGTCCATGAGATCTGGATATGAGAACAAGAGGAGTGGGCAAAGTGGAGGCCACAGACAGATCACTTCGGCTGGATTTTGGAGCAGAAGGATCCCCGAGGTTAGAGAGTGTGTGGACGCCGGGATCACTCACCCACTGCTGGAAGGAAGCCACCTCGGGGGTGAAATGCAGCGGCCATTCTGACTCTGCGCCAGCAGCACTAGGCAATTGTGTTTTGGGGAAGGGAAGTGAAGAATAACTTATCCAGCTGAAACTGTGAAGGCCTGTGGCTCTAGAGGAGCCCCTGCCCTCCCGCCACGGCCACAGCAGACAAGCGGTCCATGCACAGGAGCACATGCAGGTCCGCAGTATGTGGTCACACACCTGCCACACGCCAAACTCTGAGGCATGGATCAAGCAAGCAGCACAGGCACCTGTGTATACACTTGTACACACCTGTATACACCTGTACACACACTTGTGTGCACATTCACATTACAGGCACTCCCATAAGCATCGCATGCAAGGTCCATAAGCAGCCACCTCATTAGCTGTAGAGTTTTAGATCCACTCCTACAATGCCAATCTTTGACAAATACTGCCAACTTAAAGCATTTACCTTAAAATACATATATAAAAAAAGAATTGTCCCCAGGAAAAAGCCACTCATGTCAGTGGAAATGATCTGTCTGCTTCTGTTTCTATCAGTGCTAGAAGCAGTAGGAGCACACACCCCAGGGGTTGGTTGGTTTATCAAGAGATTTCAAAGCATCCCCTGCCACTTGCTTCTGACTCTTCCACAAACCTCACTGTGTAATAAGTGGTTAAAAAAATAGAAACCTCTGTTTATCTGACAATGGAACAACTGGACATGGTGAGGTTGTAGTACTTAGGGAGGCTCCAAGCAGGCAGGCAACTGAGAGGTAAGTGTTCTGGGATTGGGGCTATCATGCAGGGGGATAGATCTGAGGTACTAGATTTCATATTCTTTTTTTTTTTCTGGTACCAGGGATCGAACTCGGGACCTTGTGCTTGCAAGGCAGGCGCCAGAACCACTGAGCTAAATCCCCGGCCCCTTTAGATTTCATATTCTTATTATGGGTAGAACCATTACCAGTCTGTGCCTGAAAGCACAAAGCATTTTAGGATCTTGCATCTCAGTAGAGGCCAAATATCAGGTCCTGGAAATATTGCAACAGTTTACCTGTGGCTCTTTCCACCTTCCAGGCTGACAAGATCTACAGCTGCTTGGGCTTCCTGGGAAATGCTATGGGAACATGGGAAATTGACCAAAGGGGAGAAGCTGGCCTGCAGGGCCACAACGCCTCCATTCCCCAGGAAAGCAGAGAAACCAGCTCTCGGAGTTGACTTTAAAAAGAGGCAGTAGTAATAGATACCATTTATTGAGTAGTTACCACACTAGTCACTGTAATAAATACACTTTGCACATATTGTCATACAAGATACACTGTTATCCACCCTCAACTGCAAAAATAAATACAATGATACCTATTTCAAAGAATATTGTTGGAAATGAAATAAGTGGAGAGCTATATATGGGTTGCAAGTAACACTATAATGATGAAAATAATACTAAGAGTTATACTTACTGGGCACATACACTGCAGAGTATGTTGAGGTCTTTATGTATTTTTCCCACTTTGTTATTTATTTCCTTTTGTGGACAAGGAAACTGAACTGTCATGTCATCCAACTAAGTGGTAGAGCTGGAGCAGAATTGAAGTCTGTCTCAGGCCAAGCCCAGCATGACACAGTATAATACTGTGAGCTTCTGAGAAATGGCAGCTATGGCTGTCACGACCTTGTTTAGTGCCAACAACCACCTTGTGCATTAGGCTTTGTTATGTCCATTGGGCATGTAAATGACTTTCCCAGGGTCTCATATTCATGTCATGTGGACAAATAGGGATCCCCTAGGGGCAGCCTGTCTTTAGTGTCACTTACTTTTCTGCATTTCCGTGGGTACTGAAAGGATAGATTTCTCAGGGACAAAGCAAGCAGGTCATCTCCAGTCATGGATGGGAATGTAGCTCGGGGAAATATCACAGCCAGATTTTTGGCTTTTGACTCTGGGTGGTGCTGTAGCTCAGTTAAAACTCAGCCTCTTTCTCTTGAGTGACACAAGTGGCAGATAACCAGCTACCACTGGGCTAAGGAGCAGTCTGGATGGCACCAGTTATGAGCGGCAATCAGGGAACTCTCAAAAACATACTCCTGCTGGAGCGAGATGCACTTCACTGTGTAGATACCTCTGCAGTCCCTGGGGAACATGGAAACTGAGGGAACCCTGACCCCAAACCTGGATAAAGCTGCTGAAGGGCAGGTTGGGGGCTCTGGTGGACACCACCCAATCCCCATTCTTTCTTGGTGGTCCTTCTCAAGATGTTCTACAGACCTAGGAATTATTTAAGAAAGCTATGATTGAGGGCTAGGAAATAGTGGGGTCTGAAGGCATATCATTACTACGGAGACCTCCATCAAGTATAGGACCACTGGATCATGATCACCACAGATGCTAACACTTGATTTCTTTACATATTTAGAATTATGAATGCCCTGGAGCCTCCCAGTATCACCCAGAATAGAATTGACCTATTACTTTTGCTGTAGATTACAAAGTTGGCTCAAGTTTTGTATTAGATGCTTTATCTCCATTTCCTAACTTAATCTGCTGTGATACCAAAGTCAGGCCTTCTGTCCTTGCTTGATAGACCCTCTGTTCCTATTAGGCATGGGAGCACAATGCACCATGCTCTCATGCAAGAGAGAAAGGCCAGGGCACAGTGTAGAACGATTCTCTAACCCAGAGGATAAGCACAGGTGCCCCCAAGATGTGGCTGTCTCCCCCTCCCTCATCCCTTAGATCCAGGCATCATTCTTACCTCACAGGGTTTTAAATGAGTGTCTGAGAGAACACAGTATCCATCAACTCTGACCAGGCTTTCTTTGGCTTTAAAACTTGTCTTATTAAAACTTTGCTGACTTTACCAGGATTGCCATGTTTAATGAGAGGCCTCAAAGAATTTGAAAGCAAAAGATGAAGAGAGGAAAAAAGCCATACGATGTAATCACCATAATTATACAATCCCATGATAAGTTGAAAGCAGCCCTGGTGAAGCCTGAGTGAGGAGGGAGTGTCATCTGCAATGGGGTTGGTTCTTAGGACAGCGGAAAAGAATGTGACATGAAAACCCTTCCTTCCCTTGCTGGGAGCTGGTTGAAGATGAGTGCCCCAGGTAGGGGCAGGAGGAGAGGAAAGAATGGAGGGCAGTTCTTTTTGGATCTGAGGCCTCTGGGAGCATACTCTACACCTGGCCAGCTGAGCTGATTCTGATGTCAGCTTTTTCTCCTGGAATCAAGTGGGACTGGATAAATGGCAAATAGTTTTATCATCTATGATAGGCTAGTGCCAGGGAACCCATGGATGTGGCCACCCTTGGCTATGCTCAGCCTTTTTGTGCCAACGGGTGCCTATGTCCTCTGATCACTGACCTCCTTTCAGGCATTTGGGGAACAGAGCAGTGTTGCCCAGGGCTCAGCTGCAGCAGCTGCAAATGACACAGAATGTGTGTGTGTGTGTGTGTGTGTGTGTGTGAGAGAGAGAGAGAGAGAGAGTGCCGACATAGGAAGGGCAGCCATTCCACTTTGTAATAGCTTCCCTCACTTCCAGTGTGTCACCTGGCTTTTGCTCCCTCGAGGCAGAGCCTAACTGGAATCTTTTGGATTCCTCTCCTCCAATCAGCAAACTCCCTCCATATAGTCCATTCTTCTTATCCACAACTTGATTATAAAGCACTGAATGAAACGCAGTAAGACACATTTAACAAATATTTAATCCAGCACAGAATTCTACTGGGAAGAGATTTTGGAATCCACTGCAGAAATGCTCTCTATAATATCCTGAACTATTCAAATCCCACACCTTTCCATTCAGCTTCTAAACGTCAAGCCGAGGAGCACATTGCTCCTTGAAGTTGCACATTCTCTTGCAGAGTAGTTGTGACTGTTGAAGTATTCTTCAGGAGAGTGACCCTCTGCATGTCTTCTTCTACCCATTTGTTCTATCTTTGCCCTCCGGAGAAGCCCAGAGGAGTCCACTCACTTCGGAAGACAAACACAATCAGATCTCATGCTGTTGGCTTGGAGGCTAGACATCTTTACACCAGTCTCTTTTGACATAGCTTCCACAGTCCCTTTTTCAGTCCAGTTCTTCTCTTCTGGATTTTTTCTAGCTTACTAAAATCCTGCAGAAGAGGTGAGGCTCGGAACCAAGAGCCAATGTAGCCTAGGGAACCCAAAGCAGCGAAGTGCTCCTCTCTGTGGCCATTTTTACTTTTGCTCTTATAGCCTAATGTTTCCTTAAAAAAAAAAAAAAGTTGTTGCACCCTGCTTGTGCTTATGTTAAGCTTACAGTCAACTACAATACCCCATTTATTTAACTTCAATTACAATGAAGACTACAAACGCCAGCTATGGTTGTGAAACTAAATTATTTTTAAACATAAATTTTATCTGGTTAAACATTATCTAGGTGTTTTTGACCCATCATGCCAGCTGACTTTTTAAATACGATCCTATTATCTACCAGTGAGTGATATCTTCCAGGTACAGATCTTGGAACAGGGTTGGTGTGTTTGTTTCTTCATCCAAGTCATCAAAAAAGCATGTTGGCTAGGTCATGGCCACGGGTGTGAGTCCTTGTGGCCCATTATCAGGGATTGCCTTTCTGGTTGACATAGATTGATTAATCCACCTTCTCCCCAGCCATTAAGTCCTGTGAAAATACTTGCTTCATCTATATATGGAAAACACAGTGAACATGGGCAGGGGAGGACAGGGCAGGAGTAGACATTCTTTTCAATCTTATTGAGCTAATGACAGGGCACAAAAAACATTTTCTGGAGCAGGGGATTTGGTTATTAGGGCTACCCTTCTCTAGTAAGCCAGGCAAGGAGAGTTCCTGCCAAATTTACACTAACAAAGCTCATTCCTATTTGAGACCATGGTGCTGTTGCTTAAGCTAAAAGGACTTGAGTGTGGAAGGAATGTGGAAGGACCACTGCTATTTGGGCCTTGCTACTGCACAAGTGGCTATGTACTTCTAACCGTACTCTACCGCCCTATCCATTAGGGAGCCAAGGCAAACCTCCAAGGACTTTCTCCCAATGGCCATCTGGCAAATGTCACAAAACTGAAAAT